CCAGGGGAGTGAGGCAAGAGGCTGATCATCCAGCGAGGTCAATGTAGACAGGCCTTGGGTTCTTGCAGTGGCCAATGGTAGAGTTGTAGTAAGTAGTGTCTGGTGCTGAGAGACATTTGCTAGAACATCTTGTCTTGTTGAGAATGTTTGAGTCCCCAGCCCTCCCAGATATTTTACAAACCACCTAATGTCCCTGGATGAATGAACTCCTTCAATCTGAATCTGCATCAACTGAAAAGTAACATCTGAAATACCCTTATTAGAATATGTTTCAATTTTACTCCTTGTGATCTGTTTGCCTGTCTTGATGCACTGTTAACCACAGCTATTGTGTATTCTTTGTATTGTTCTTCCCATTTCCTTTGTTTTATCTGGTTTTAGTTTTCCTTGTGAGACAGTGTCTCACAAGGTGAGTGTTAGGAGCCATGCAGCCCAGTTTCAGACCAGTATATGAATGATAATCCAACGAGTGTCCAGATGAGCCAAAAGTCCAAGGGGACAGTGTCACACAGCAAGGACCAGTGGACTTCAGGGCAGTGCAGAATACTGCTGGTACCATGCAGCCTGCGAGTTCTCTTCTCTCTCATGATATTGATGATTCTCTTGGCAGTTTTTAGTTTCACTTTGTCAATCACACATGGAACAGATGCGATCATTCCTGGAAACCCATTTTTTCTCCACTATTTCCCCCTAAAATTCTTTGGGAGTTCATGCTTCTCAGGTTTTTTGTCTGGGAATGCCAGCTGTTACTGCAGACCCCGGGAGCTGTTCTGATTCAGTACTGACCGAATCAGATGTGCTGACCCTGTTCTGTAAATAAGTTTTGAACCAAATTGTTGTCCTTGAAAATGTGTAACTATGTTCATCACTTCTTAGTTTTGTAAAGATAGAATGTACCAGGCTTGATATTTGGCCAACCTAGAAAAATGTTTTGTTTTGGGTTTAAAGATGATCTGATGTAAAAGTTGGAAATAACATATTTGACATATTTATTTTTGCCAGAGGTTAATGATGGAGATTGAGACAAACTTATTTGTTATGGAAAAACTTGCTTATTTTTTAATGTATAAATATAATTGGCTAAAGCTATTTAGGGCTGCCCACTTTTGTGAAATTCGTCTGGTGTTGGACAATTTATTTCTTTATGCCAAAGCTCCTTCCCCATCTCAGAATCTGAACACAGGCTGCTGCAGGACAACAGCAGTGTCTATCTACTGGGGCTCTTCCTGTATCAGTTTCTTGAATGTGTAGATTATAAGCATGTATAAGCATGCCTAGGTTTTTAAAAAGCTTTTAAAGATAGTTTAAATTTTGTCTGGACTGGCCTCAAATACATGTAGTGAACCAATTGCTTCAGTTTCCTAAGTGCTGGGATATAAATATATGTCCCCATGCTTAGCTTGGCATTCTTGTGTAGTACAGGCTAGCCTGAAATTGATCATACCCCTGTTTCAACTACCCAAGAGCTAGAGTGATAGCCCTGTGTCATGATGCCTGGTTTAATCTGAATTTCTTGAACTGCTTATATTGTGAGTATATGTTAAATGCCTACTCTTGAGTCATTTCCTCTTCTAGTAATTAAGAACTTAATAGTTGTGAAAGCCTTGTGACTTTTGTTTATGTGGTGTGTACAGTCTAAAATATATGTGTCTGAACATTTCAGATGTTCAACTTGGTCACCAGCATCAATTTGTTTGATTAAATATTCCCTTGAAAAGATAAAGAGAAATGAGAAATGCCCTTCATTTCTCTTAGGCTAATGGGAAAGTGAAATAAAAGAAATGTGATTGGGATTGGGATTCAACAGTGGCACAAAACAAGGGGAGGGACTTCGTTGAAAAAGTCAAGAATGAGGAACTTAATTACTAAAATAAGAAAAACAAAAGAACTGATTTATTGCTGGCATAAATATGAGTAACATGTAAGATTGCCTCTCTTTGGGGAGAGAAAATATGGGCAAGAGAGGTCAAGATCATGATGGAAAAATCTACAGAGACAGCAGAACCATGCTCATGGAAACTGATGAACTCTAGACTGACAGCTGTGGAGACTCCAGGGGACTAAACTAGACCCTCTGTATGTGGGAGAGAATTGTGAAGCTTGAACTATCTGAGGAGGCAAACTGGTACATGAGCTAGCTTGTTGTGTAAGACCCTCAGAATGAGGAGTCTTCCAGTTTCAGTCGGTACCCCCAAGAACTCAATGTCCAGTCCAGTTGCTGAAACACGCAAGAGGCTTTAATGAATAGGAAATGTTTGCGCAAACGGGCTCCTCCACCATGCAGGCTAGAGAGAAGCCCCCTCCCCTGGGCACAGGTGTTTTTAAAGGCAAACCCATAAGCTTACGGAGAGGGTGGGACCCTCTGTCCATTGAGTAAGTGACCATTTGAGGCTGGATGGTCTGCTATTAGGGTCAACAGACCTTAGGGCCTCAGGGTGTTCTAATTAATCATGTCTGGGCAAACTGGAGGTGCAGTTATCTCTTTGTTTCTTAAGGACCCTATTCACCACCTGCTGACCCACAAGAAAGGAGGGGCAGTGTGAATTCTTGGTATCTTGTTATCTCAGGGCCTTGTGAGGGGAAGTTAGCAAATTCCAAGGAACAGGTATTGGTTTCCAGGTTAGTCCTTCATTTCAAGTGGGGGGTTTCTTTAACTTTACTTTTTTTGTCTTTCAGTTGGAGTGCATTCCCTATGGTGGGGTACCACGTTCTACCTTAATGCATGGGAGAGGGGCTTGGCCCCTACCCCAACCTATTGTACCAGACTTTGTTGACTCCTCATGGGAGCCTTTAACAGTGAGAAGAAATGGACTGGGACTGAGCTGGGGGGCAGGTGATGGAGGGTAGGAGGAGGGGTGGGATGAGAGCTGTAGTTGGAATGTAAAATGAAAATTTAAAGAATAATAAAGAATAAAGATGCCTTTTCTCTCTTCTTGTCCCTCATTTCTTCTATTTCCATCTTCACACAGCATGAACAAAAATTCCGCAATAGGATTATCTATTTTGCAGATTTTCTTGAAGAACCAACTCTCTCATTCTTTTTATAGTTCTCTTTTCTATTTTATCCATTTCAGCCCTCAGTTTAATTACTTCCTTACTTCTACTCCTTTTAGGTATGTTTGCACCTTTTTGTTCTAGAGCATTCAGGTGCTAGCATGAGATCTCTCCAAATTTTTCCTGAAGGTAGTTAGTGGTGAGTTTTCCTCTTCACACTGCTTTCATTGACTCCGAGATTGGGTATGTTGTACATTCATTTTCATTGAGTTTTAGGAAGTCTTTAGATTCTTCATTTCTGACTTGACCCAGTGGTCATTCAGTAAACAGTTGTTAAGTTTCCCTGCCTTTGTAGGCTTTCTGTTGTTTCTGTCATTGTTAAAATCCAGTGTTAATTGATGGTGGTCTGATAAGATACTGGGGGTTATTCAGGTCTTCTCTCTCACCTGCTGATACTTGCTTTGTGGCTGAGTATATGGTCAATTTTGGATAAGGTTTCATGAGATGCTCCAAAGGTATGTTCTTTTGTGTTTGGATGAAATATTCTATAGATGTTAGGTGCATTTAAGTCATAACTTCTGTTAGTTCCCTTATTTCTCTATTTAGTTTCTGTCCAGATGCCATGTCTATTGGTGAGAGTGGAGTGTTAGTGTCTTCCACTATCATGTGTGAAGTTCTATGTGTGATTTAAGCTTTAGTAATTTTTCTTTTACAAAATTGAGTGCCCTTACATTTGGGGCATAAATGTTCAGAATTGAGATGTTATCTTAGTGAATTTTTCCTTCGATGACTATTAAATGTCCTTCTCCACCTCTTTCAATTTTGTTTGGAAGTCTATTTTGGTAGATATTAGAATAGCTACACCAGCTTGTTTCTTAGATCCATTAGATTGGAAAACCCTTTTCTAACCCTTTACTCTCAAGATGATGTCTATCTTTGATGCTGAAATGTGTTTCTTGTATGTAACAGAAGGACTGATCCTGTTTTCAAATCAAGCCTGTGTCTTTTTATTGGCAAATTGAGTTCATTATTATTGAGGGATATTAATGACCAATGGTTTCCCTTCTTTGGGTTTTGCTGGTGTGAGATTATCTATTGCCTATGTTTTTGGTGGGTGTAGTAGTTAAGTTCCTGGGGTTGGAGTTTTCTTTCTAGTACTGTCAGCAGGGCTGGATTTGTGGATACAAATGGTTTAAATTTCACTGTTATGAAATATCTTGTTTTCATCATGGTGACTCAGTTTTGCTGGGTAGAGTAATATGGCCTGGCATCCATGGTCTCTTAGAGGTAGGTGAAAGTCCAGGGGCTTCTATGGATTTTAGGATCTCCATTGGGAAGTTGGGTGTGATTCTAATAGGTCTGCCTTTATATGTTACTTGGCAATTTTCCCTTGGCACTTTTAATATTTTTTTTTTGTTGTTTTGTATGTTTAGTGTTTTAACTATTATGTTACAAGGGGATTTTCTTTTCTGATCTTACCTATTTGGTGTTCTATAAGCTTCTTGCACCTTTACAGGTATATTCTTTATGTTAAATATTCTCTAGGCTTTTTGTTTTTTTGAGATGGGTTCCTTCACCTTCTTCTATTCCTGCTATGTTTGATCTTATCATAGTGTGCCAGATTTCCTGGATTTTTTGTTAGGAATTTTTTAGGTTTAACATTTTCTTTTACTGATGAATCTATTCCTGCTATCTTCACTCAACACCTGAGATTCTCTCTTTCATCGCTTGTGTTGTGTTGGTAATGTTTGCATCATTCCTGTTTGCTTACCCAGCAACCTGGAAAATGGAAATTTCCATTTCCAGGATTCCCTCCATTTGTTTTCTAAACGCTTCTATTTCCATTTTCAGGTCTTGCACAATTTCCTTCACCTGTTTTGTTTTTTTGTTATTTTGACTTTTTTTGGCATTCTTCTAGGGATTTTTTGGTCCCTATTTTTTTTTCCCCTCAACATCTTTAAGGGAATTTTGTATTCCCTCTTTAAGAACCTATGTCATCGCCTTTCCAGTTTGGGCCCCGGCAGGATGGCTCCCGCGAAGAAGGGTGGTGAGAAGAAGGGCCGTTCTGCCATCAACGAGGTGGTGACCTGGGAGTACACCATCAACATCCACAAGTGCATCCATGGCGTGGGCTTCAAGAAGCGTGCTCCTCGGGCACTCAAAGAAATCCGGAAATTTGCAATGAAGGAGATGGGGACCCCAGACGTTCGCATTGATACCAGGCTCAATAAAGCCGTCTGGGCCAAAGGAATAAGGAATGTTCCGTACCGTATCCGTGTACGTTTGTCCAGAAAACGTAATGAGGATGAGGATTCCCCGAACAAGCTGTATACATTGCTAACCTACATGCCTGTTGCCACATTCAAAAATCTACAGACTGTCAACGTGGATGAGAACTAACCTGCTGAATGTCAAATAAAGTTGAGAGCTGACTGCGAGAAAAAAAAAAAAAAAAAAAAAAAGAACCTATGTCATCTTCATAAAGTAGTTTTTAAGGCTGTTTTCTTGTACTTCGGCCGTGTTTGCTCAGGGTTTCCTGCTGTAGGATAGCTGGGCTCTGGTAGTGCCTTATTGCCCTTTCTGTGTGTTGTTACAGTGGTATTTGGCATCTGAATTTGGAATGATTATAGGTCTATGTGTTGATTTTTGTGTTTGTCTTTGTTGGATTGTTTTGTTCTTTAGTTTTTCTTTCCTTTTTGGCATCCTGACCTAAATAGCCAAGGGTTCTGGTGACTGACTAGGAAGTCTTCAGGTCCAATAGGGTGTCCTCTCTAGGGTTTTGGAACCTAGGGTCCCTAGATCCACCCTGGCCTCTGGTAGACCAAGATATGGAACCTAGGAATGGGGTGCAGGTTTTAAGGAATGTTAGTTGGGTGGGGGTAGGGAATGGGTGTGTTTTACTTTGGCCTTAGGTAAAGCTACTAGGGCTGTGGGCCCTAGTGTGGAGCCCAGGGAAAGGGATGCAGTATTGGAGTATAGATTTTTGCTTTATTTTTCTGAAATAGGATTTCTATATAAAAAGAATTAAGTATCACAAACTCCTCTCCGGAGCATTTAAAATACAGGTAAGTGGTTAGACCGGGGAAATGGAAAAAGGCTTTAGAGTAAGATAAAAATAGGAGGGTAAAATCATAGTAGAAGTCCGAAAAAGTCATAAGAAATCATTCTATTAGCTATCTACCACACCCACAAACCTCTGTAATATAAATGTCTGTGTATATACATATATAATGTTGATACCCTGGCTTCTTCCTCTCCCTGGGTCCTGGGCAACCTCACCCTGTTCCTGCTTCCAACTCCTCTCCTTCTCCTTAGTACCCATGTGCCACTCTGCAGTCCTCTCCTGGACCTATCTATGTATGCCATCTCCTTAGTGAACCTTTCACGCTCATGGGGCATCTCTAATCCTCAGGTTCTCTCCCTGGGATTGTTCTTCTCTGGGCAACCTTCCCTCACCCCCAGGATCTGTCTTCACTAGGTGGTTGCTCCTTGTTGATATACTGGCATTATGCTGACAGCTCAAAGGGCCCCATGTTGCATGGATACATCATGCACACATTAAGCAGCTGCGTAAGGACTATGCAAAAATGAGGAGCTAGGGCCAACAGCAGTTCCACAACTCCAGTTTCAATGGTCCCAATTGCTAAGCCTCATTCTAAACTGCTCCCTTTCAATTTTAAGCAAGCAGCTCTTTCCCATTTCTGCTTCCAGTTGGTTAAGACCTACCCCTCCCTTTGCTCCCTTTCCCAATAAATTCCATGTGGGTTTGTTGAGTCTGGTGGTTTGTCTTTCATCGCCTAAAGCTGCAGCAAAGAACAACATATAATTTAAATGAAGATTTCTCCTCTGGGGTGACAATGCTTCCTCTAAGAGCCAAAAATCATCTAACAAATAACCTAATACCAAAACATAAGCTTTCCTTTGACTGGTTGGTGAGAGTTGTCCAAGAGACTCCCCAAACACTAAAAACTACTGCTATTTACATTGATTGCCCAGAGGTCCCAGAGCTGGAACTTATCTGTATGCATGCCTCCTTTTACAGCCTTTCATTGTACCATAAGATACCACACAAGCTTCCAAAGGAAGAAACCAACAGTCCAACCCAGCTATGACATCTATAAACCATAAAAATACAGATGACATAATAACCCTCAGGATGCAGTAGTGGCACACATATGTTGACAGCAACTAACAGTCCCTAATTGGACTTAAGACCCACTCAACAGGAGGAAATCATCTGTGAAGCCATGGATCTTAAGAACTTATAACCACTTTACTAAAATAGCATAATCCCTAACAACATTCTAATTACTTGTCTTTATAACCTAAAATAAGTGTAGTATTCTTCCCCAGCAAAGGAACCTTCTCTTTGTAACAGATCACTACAGAAAACTAGTACCAATTAAAGAGCAAAGCTCTGCAGCCCAATCCCAATGGATACATCCACAAAATAATTTCCAGATCTAAGGCTCATGGAATTTTGTGGAAGAGGGAACACAAGCACTGTAAAAGCCAGAAGACCAGGGAATTTGTTATGAGGCTATATCTCCTGGTAATGTCAGACTTATATCAATGAAGTCTCACCAACATAACAACTTAAACATGGGCTAAGTAAAGACAACAAAAATAAGCATGCAAAAGTGAATGTAGGTCTCAACACTACAAAAATAACTACAGGCAACTAAGGACTGCTAAGTGGGAGAAATAGTCTTGTGCAGAGAGAACACACCATTGGTTATCCAATACCAAATGGTCAACTCTGAAATCATATAACCAAGTAACAGACTAAGCAGGTTGTATGTATGTATCTATCTAATATTCTTGTATACTTCGTTTCATATACTTACATATTTATAAACTTATAATTTATATACAATATATAAAGTATGTTTATATACTTCTAAGTTAACCTAAACAGGACTATTATTTGGACCCCTATGAAAAACTGCACTCCAGAGTTTTTCCTCTGCAGTGTTCCCTCTGTTCACTGCTCTCATCTCCCACTACTCTATACTCATGTATCTTGTCTGAATTTATTCAGCAGAGAACACAAGGAGGAAGCTCAAGGAAGTTCTGTATGATAGGAGATGATCTATGATAGTCACACTTCTGGTTTTGAATGAAAAGTTCAAGTATATTGGCAAGCCAAAGAAAAAGTATAAAATGTGACCGATATATCAAATCAGATGCTCAAAACATCCATAACAAATTGACTGGAGAAGCCTGTTGAGGTAGTCATCTCAAGTTCTGAACAGACTATCATGTTCCCTCCAGTTAAAAGACTTCTGAGTAACACCCACAGCATCAAATTCAGGTCTTCCAAACATATAGCACAAACTGACTGGGGAAGCCGACACACAAAACAACCTTAAAAAAAAAAAAAAAAAAAGTGTTTTTCTAAAGGCCTTTGCTTTCCTTTTCAGGAAGATAAGCTTGGTTCATGTATCTCTGCTTGAGGTTATTAGGCTTGCATTCATGGGTTAGTGAACACATTGTGTTTGGCCATTTCTGTGCTTTTTCCTTTACCTTTGAACATTTTCTTGGGTCCTGACCAACTAGATATGTCAAGTAAATTTTCTTTTCCTTAGTCACATGTAGTTTGTTACTTGGGATATACGATCCTAATTAATATGTCAAGAAAGTTAACAGGAGTGTAAAAAAAAAAAAACTGAGAAAACATTTAAATATGATTAATTAGAATCTTATTTTTCAAAACACTCATTACTAGTATATGATAGTATTTATTTCACATCCCACTCTCTGATTAACTTATCATTTCGTTTCCAACATTTCTGGTTACTCTAAAATTTGTTAACTCGATTTTCATCAAGTTTTTTAGTTTTCAGTCATGTCTTGATAAATACATTTGAAACTATAAATTATATTGTCTTATCAAGTCCTACAAACACTTATTGCACTGTTTTCAGTTTGAAATGTTTTGGCTTAGTATTATTTTTTCCACTTAACAGGTAAAGAAACTGGAAAACTAAGATATTAAATATCACATTTAAAACTTATATGATATGGGATGTCCTTCTGTACACTGCAAATATGTGCTGTTTTTATTGGTTGATGAATAAAGCTGTTTTTGGTCAATGGTCAGGCTGAACAGAGTCAGGTAGGAAATCAGAAATAGGGAGAGAAAGAAGGCAGAGTTGGAGAGAAACCACAGTCACCAGAGAAGCAAAATGTATAAGGTTACAAGCCATGAGCCTCATGGTAAAATAGAAAATAAGAGAAATGGGTTAATTTAATTGTGAGAACTAGTCAGTAATATGCCTGAGCCATTGGTCAAACAATTGTAATTAATATTAAGCCTATGAGTGTTTGTTTGGGAACTGGCTGGCAGGGGGGAAAAAAACCCTATTGCGGTAAATAAGGATCAGGATAAACAAATAGGCCGAATAGATGTTTATTTAGGGAGAAATAACTTACAACCTAGACAGATGAACACCAGGAAATTCAACCCGATCCTCTCCTGTCCGAGTCACGCCAGAAAGAGAGCGCCTTCCTGGCCCCCTCCAACCTCCTTCCACCAGTCACTCCGCCCATGGCTCCACCCCCCAATGGGCGTGGTCAGTGCTACAGAAGGACTATCTCACTACAAAACCCTCCATTTATAATTATATAACTAGGAACTAATGTTTTGATAGGGAAAAACTGGTAGTATTTAAAGGACATCTAGCTTAATTTGGGACAAAATTCCTGATGAAACACTAAGTAGCTAGCTTTAAACATCCTTTGATGTCATTGAGACAGGCACGATGACAAGTAAGATGACATTACAAGCATCACATGATGGTTTGACATTACTAATAGAGATGTATGATTCCAAGTTCTGAGTGACTTCATCTTGACATTCTGGAGCAAATGACAAAAGCCCACATTAAACAGCAAATGTACCAAAACATTATAACCAAGATTCAAGAATAGCAGCTTGTCCCTAGGTTTCAGGAACCAGGAGAATATCAGTAGCAGTATTCATTCCACCTTTATCCTTTCCTACCAAGCTTGGTTCACATGATGCTAGCATTTCCTGGGTTCCTGTCTCTCAATTTATCTTGTTTCAAACTGAAAAATCTTAAGAATTAGCTGATTTGAATCAGATCCCTCTATTCTTATTATAATCACTGTGGCAAGGAAAGAACTTGGTCTACCATGAATAACTCTAGGCAATAACTTTCCCTATACAAGGTCTATACTGAAATCCAACCTTAGGTACAGAGAATGGGAAGGACATTTTCCAACAACTGCCAGTCCTTAAGACATAGTGTTCTAAAGAAACAGTGTATTATATGTCCCGTTTATCTACATTATAAATAAGGCTACCTTGTGTATGAATAATTGACTATAATAATTTTAATCTTAGTCATTACACACAAAGCATTTGGAAGGAGCCATTTAAATTGGGGTGCTAATGGGGATAGCAATGTACACAGGTAGAGAGGATATAAAGTAATTTTACAATTTGAATGGATCTTTGGAATAAGAGGGTCCTTTTGAAGCAAAGGGTAGAAGAAAGGAGATAAGAAGGCTGGGAATAAAAAAACAGAATCATTCAAACAATCAAACACACTTCTTTTTTATCCCAAGATGGAAGGAACATGAAGTTGGATGGGTAGGGATGTGGTGAGGATCTAGAAAGAGTTGGGTGAAAAGACTAATGTCAAAATATATTGTATAAGAAAGAATCAATTAAAAAAAAAAAAAGAATCATTCTAACAACCATAACTGATGGAACACTGGAACACTTAAGCCATGGGGTTGGTATTTAGTAAGACCCTATGTTTATTCCCCTTCATCTCATTTTAAATTAGAACATTATGAGCCATTTCCAAATAAATGGAAATGACTATTTTCTTCTTTTTTATGAATACAGACAAAATGTCAGACTTTTAGAATCCAACATTCATAAGGGGACTGCAAATGCACTACATACACTCATTTCCCACTTAGCTAGAACACACAATGGTTTCCTAATCTAAGTTTTTCTACAGCCAGGAAAAAGAGCTGTGCAAATCACTCAACTTTCTAAAACTGAGGTGACTTTCTAAACACTCAGAATGCCAAGCAAGACAGAGAAACAGTTCAGGCTTAATTACTATGAAAGCAACAAAAAAAAAAAAAAAATCTTGTCATGATAAAATTTTTTTAAGCAGAAAAGTTATAAAGCTATATACATGTACATATATGTGTGTGTGTGTATTACAACATACATATTAAAGTTTAATAATATATACATATACAGAATATCAAAATACCTTTTCTACTTTGGCATCTATATTCTTGAGATTAAAAATTACAAAGTTCAAACATTTCTAAAAAAAAACATTCAGGTTTTCATTTACTAAAAACAAAATAGTACAAGTTTTGTTGCCCTGATATATACATCAAAATAAATATTTTCAATTGTAGAAAATAGAAATGGTTAACAGTCTCAAATTTCTTGACAAAGAGTTTACCCTGAATTTTCAGTATCTTTTTGTAAAAAATAAATTTACATAATCTTAAACTCAAACCAGTGTGCTTTAATGCTTAAAAAAAAAAAGAAACAATACTTAGTAAAGAACAAGTTTACACCAGCTAAGAAATAAAATCTGCAGCCATATAAGTATAAATATAATCATTTTAAAAACAAATTCAATATTATGAAAATATATAAAACCCCTAGGTATACTCCATAAAAATATAAATGCACATTTGCATTCTACTGATTATCAAAAATTGATATAGTTTCCACAAAATGTAAAAAGTAAAAGGCATTGTTTTCTTTCTTCTTTTTCTTGAAATGGTCTCACTGTATAGCTATAGATTGGCTTCCAACCCACAGAACCTGGTTCAGCAGGTCAGCATTGTTTTCTTAATGAAATACAGAAAGAATAAATACTTTTATCTCAAAGCAGTAATATCAACATTTGTTAGCAAAAAATGGAGTATACATAGAAAGGTAGGCATTATCCTGTATTCAAGTTTCCAAGTTTGATTTACATTAAAATATTTTCTGTTACTGATAAAAACTACATAAACAAAAGTAAAAAGATGAGGTAAACATCTTACACTTTTAAGAAGTATTTGAAAGTACTCAAATTTTTCCATTGCCTAGATTCTGAAATGCTGGTATAAGGTCTTCATAATGATGATGATGGTATGTAGCTAAATCATATTCTTGTCTTCTGAGTAGACAATGTTTGTTTCAGATATTATAAGACAATCAGGACTTTCACCAACAATACTTCTCCATTGTGGGTTTACATGAGGCACCACGCCACAGTAAGAGCAGCTACAACACCATTCAAAATTGCCATGCTATAGCCCATGTGGAAAGAATGTCCAGTCAGTTTCCTAGAAAAAAAGGAGAAACACAAATTAAAAAACAAACAAACAAAAAAAACCATGTAATTTGGTATGACAAAAGTAATAAACTCTTACTAAATATGCTCAAAGACATCACAATGAGTTTTTCTAAGGTTTACACGTTAATGTATAAGTAAAAAAAATACTGGACACTTGCAGGATTAATACAGGATCATCAATCTTAAATTTTTTCAAAAGCCTTCCTGGGGACTGAAGAGATGACTTAGAGGTTAAGAATATTTCCTGCTCTTCCAGTGAACTGCCCACATTGGGTGGCTCATTATTGCCTGGAACAACAATTCCAGGGGATCCTATATCCTAGCATCCATGGGCACCTGAACAAAAGGTACAGATGGCACACATCACACACACACACACACACACACACACACACACACACACACACACACACACACATAAATATAAACAAATTTTAAAAACAAACCAACAAGCAAAACTGTCCTGGTTTCCTGGTTGACAAATATACATTTTTAATTTCATTAGTATTAAATGCTAAACTTGAACCCCATTTTTGAAAAATGGCTTTCCACTGTTTATAGCAATAACATGTTATATTACAAACAAGTCTTGCAACAAACAGCACTGCTTTTCCTTGCTCTCATTCATTCTTAGATCTAATTTAAAACACATTATTCCAAGTATTTATTTTGCTCATATCATGTTTGTTTGTTTGTTTTCAGTTATAGAAAGAAACTATTCCTTTGAGCCTATGTGAGGGGATTAACATAAATTTCAGCTTTCAACCTAATAGGGTTACTTAACTACAGTGGTTTCTAACAAGTGTCTAAATGACAGCCAAGAAACATCTTATTTATGATTACTATGAGTTCCAACTACTTCACAAAATTTATGTACCCATAATTTTTCCAGATGCTTCTTTAAGAGTTTTGCCTATATTTTCCTAAATATTCCATTAACTATATTACAATAATAACTTTGTTTGGTTAGTCTAGTAGAATGACATATTCTATCTGGCAAGATAGTTCAGCAGATACAATCATTTGCTGCATAAGCCTAACTAATACCTAAGTTTAATACTTGGAACCCATGCAAGTTGCATTCTGATCTTCTTCACATGTGCTGCGTCATGTGTACATACATGCATGAACAAATAGATAATAAAAGAGTCCACAAATTGGCTAGATGGCTAAGAGCATCAAGTTTGATTAATAGAACCCAAGTTATCTCAACTCCAAACACATACAAATATATATATGTGTATATATATATATATATACACACACACACACACAAAACTAAATGGCTCAAGTAGTGCCAGAAGGCCAAGAGGTGGCTGGCTGTGGGGGCACTGAGTTCCAGCCATGTATGGTAATTGTGGGTTCCCTGGAAGAGAGCAATTCACAGGTCCGGAGTGAGTCACAAAGGAATAAAGCTAGGCTACAAGGAGAGGTGCAAGAAAGGTGCAAGAGGAAACAGAATGGGGTGGAGGATCCTGGGTCTTCATCAAGATGTGGAGTGCTAAGGGAATGGAGATGGATTGGGAGGAGCGGTACAGGAAGGCTGGAGAAGGACTGTTAGTCTGAAAGGAGGGACTAGAAAAGAGGACAGGAAGGAGAATGAAGGTTCCCTACCTGAATCCTGGCCTCAAGTACCTACATAGTGATGACTTCACTTTGATCTTCTGATTATTTTACCTCTAACTCCCAAGTGCACCACCACACCCATTTTATATAATCAGTGCTGGCATTTAAACCTAAGACCTCATGCACAGTAAGCAAGCACTCCAAGAACTAAGCTAAATCCCTAGCTCTCAGATTAAAAGAAATGAAAGAGGAAAAAAAAATCCAGTTTTCTTAATGATACAAATTTTGATTTGTCAAAGTTAAAAGACATGGCAAGGTTTATCAGGGGTATAGGGGTGGACAGGTGCCTTAGCAGACTTCCCGGGGGAGGCCTTACCCTCTCTGAGGAGCAGATGGGGGGGGGGAGTCGAGGGAGCACTAGAAAAAGAGGGGAATTGGGATTGAAATGTAAAAATAAGTAAATAAATAAGACACGGCAAGGATGAAGATAAAAATAAGTCCCAAAAATGCAGTAGTTGGGGACTGGGGAGATGGATGTTCTTCCACAGGACCCAGGTTCAATCCCCAGGACCCACATGGCAGCTCACAACTGTCTGCAACTCCAGTTCCAAGGGATCCAACACCCTCAGCATTTATTTCCAACAGACATAAATGTAGGCAAAAACAACAATGTACATGACATAAAAATAAATAAAATTTTAAAAATCCAGTAGTTGTTCCATTCCAAGTGGTGTATGTTTCAATTGGTCTTCAGAATATGTTAGAAGCCCAAAAAAGTAAGCTCTAATGCTACTGAAGGGTTTTACCAGGGAGAGGAAGAGTAAACAGGTAAAAAAAAAAAAGTTGCTAAAAGGACTATATATCTGTTGCATGATAAGCTTACTGTACTGACTGGTTTTGTGTGTCAACCTGACACAAGTGAGTGCCATCATGGCTGAGGAAATGCCTCCTTGAGCTGCAGTTGTAAGGTATTTTCTGATTTGATGATCAATGGGAAAGGCCCAAAAGGTAGGCCAGTGTACAATAAAATAATAAGCCTATAAACATATATGTGGTTTTGCATTGTATTATTCTTGTCCTACTTGTTCAAGATTACTTTTCTCATTAAAATACACTACAGAGATCTAGTGAAGTGACATGGAATACCACCAAGCCTAACAACATAAATTCAAATCATAGTCCTATGTGAAGCAGGGAGAGAACGGATTCTTCAAACTTCTCTGTGGACCTACACCATGGTATGTGTGTTCACATGTGGGCACACACACAAATAATATTTACTAGTGAGCATATATTTCTACCAGATTTTATACTGAAGGTAATTTCTAGTAATACATTTTATTAATATTTAATAATATGTAAATATAGAACTGTTATTTTCCAGAAATGGAAAACATTTAAAATTCAACAGGCAATTTAAAAAAAATTGTATTCTTCTGAACAAGAAATTAAGGCACCGAACAACTACCCGAAGTTCCAAATAAATTACTTAAAAAAATAAAGAGAATAAGTCTTGAGTCTTTCTTAGTTCATCTCAAATGAATTTCTATGCTACAGAGATGAACACTGGACTCAATTCTCTTGGATTCTTCATTTCTATACCACATTTACTCATGTACTTCTTTTTCCTCATACATATTCTCACAGATCAAGAGAAACTTTTATGGTAGAATTCCTGAAATTTAAAATGGCACTTTCAGTATGAAATGACTTTAAACAGATAGTTCTCTATATGTGCCAGAAGGGGGTTAAGGCTCATATTGAGAATAAACTGGTAATTTTTTTCTTGCCTAATGGTTCAGCAGGGTACAGGATGAACTAGTTAGTACTAATTTACTTTTTCAGACTATCGGAACTACCTTTTATTTCCATCCTATTTATGCTATGAGTTATTTCTATATACCTCTTTTTTCTTTAGGTACCATTTGTGCTTTGCCTATAACATTATCTATTGCTTAAAAAGATATTTATTATTTATGTGTCTGTCTGTCTTGCAGGGGGTAGGGTATGTGCACATGTATGTGGGTACTGCAGAGTTCAGAAAAGGAGATTGGATTGCCTAAAGCTGGAGTTATAAGCAGTTGTGAGTTACCAGATCTGAGTGCTGGGAATGGGCCACTGATCCACTGAAAGAACAGCAAATACTTTTTCTTACTGAGCAATCTCCTTAGTCCTTATTTGTTGATTTAACTGGTCAACTTATATCAGTTATTGATTCACTAGATCAACAATTCTTCTGGGGTAAACAGCATTGATGGGAGATGTCATTCTGTAAATATGTTTCTCATACTGGTTAATGAATAAAGACCTGTTGGCCAATAGGAAAGCAAGAGAGGAGGGAGTAGGAGACAAGGAGGAAAGAAGTAGGAAGGAGGAGTCAAGATGGGGAGTCTGGAGAGAGCTGGACACCAGCCGGCTCTCCGAGGGTAAGAGCATGCAAATACACAGATCAACAGAAATGGGTTAATAATTAAGACAGAGCTAGGTGATAAGAAACAAGTAACTGGCCAACAACATTACATCAAATACAGAGTCTCTGTGTGTTATTTGGGGCTGGCGCGCAGCGGGACAAGACCAGCGGCAGGTGGAAAAACCTTATTCCTTACACAGCATAGGATGAGTAAGTTATAAGTATTGTTGTGGTGGTTTGAATGAAAATGTCCCCCAGAGACTCAAGGGAGTGGCATTATTGGAGGTACAGTCTTGCAATAGGTGTGGCTTTGTTGGAGGAAGCTTGTCATTGGTGGTGTGGGCTTTGAGGTTTCAGAAGCTCAAGCCAGGCCCAGTGTCACTCTCCTCCTGTTGCTGCCTATCCAGATGCAGAACTCTCTAGTACCATATCCTTCTGTGTGCTGCAGTGGTTCCCACCATGATGATAACTGACTAAACCTCTGAACTTTAAGCTAGCCCCAAATACATGCTTTCCTTTATGAGTTAGGATGGTTATGTTGTTTTTTCATAAGAACAGAAATCCTAAGACAACTGGTTAACACAAAAAAGGGGTTCGAATGGTCTCTCAGTATTTTTAGTGCTGCTTGTATTTTTTTAAAACTGACATTTAACAGAACACCAAGTATAATAACTAGCACAAAGCAAACAATCAGCTAAATCATGTTATGAAAACAAGGAAGCAAGAATGAATGCTAATATAACTTTTAAAGGATTTTGTTTCATCTATACGTATCTTTCACTCAGAAGTAATGGCATATACTAGACTTTCATTTATTTCAACCCTACTCTTCTAGAAGCCACATTATGTTACCACCAATATAGTCGTTAATATATTCATTGTGACTGATGATGGGTCTAAACAGTCCCTATTTAATGAATCTTTGTGACACTCAAATATGAAAGCCAAGTCCATGATCTATTTCTTTTGTCAGATTTTCTCTCTTACTGCAATTAACCATCCGACATGTTTTA